AGCATTTATCTAATAAAATTTATAAAAATTATTACAGATGTCAAAATAAGTTAACGGGTCGGATTCAAATTTAATATGAAATTGTCTGAATCAAAAGACAATTGATCAGCCCGACTTGCTTTTGAACGGCTCAAAATTGTAAACCAAGTCTTACCCGACAACAACCTCGATGACTTGAACCAACTTCATAAACCACTTTAAATTTTAAAAAAATTAATTAATTTATTAACTTTGAAGTTTTGGTTAGTTGATCAAAAGTGAGATTAGCATAGCAACAAGCAAAATAATTTAGGTGAAATGTAATTATACTGGTTATTATTTGGTCAAAATTAGGTCATTATCAAATTTGCAGTTCCACACGAATCTAACCAAATAATTAAACAAGTGGGAATTTTGGACACAAATTGTACTTGCTTATTATATTGATTTACATGAACTCGAATTTTTTAAATTGGCTTTATGTCAATTTATTAAATCAAATCATTTATTGACATCTGTCTCATTGTGGATAAATTATTTTGTGCAGAATCCGAAAGGGAAGAATCATTCGGATTGTGAGTGTACATACACAATGTATATAGTATACATAATATGTATCAAATCTATGTACACAAACTGTGTACAATGTATGTACACTCACATGCCCGAACAGTAGGGGTGTCAATTCGGGTCAACGGGTCGGGTTCGGGTCGAACCCGAAACTGACCCGGCACTGTTCGGGTCAACCCGAACCCGACCCGTTTTTAAAAACGGGTCAGGTTTCTGGACCCGAACCCGACCCGATTCGGGTCCGGGTCAACCCGACCCGACACGAATGACCCGGAATTGACCCAAAATTGCTAATTTTCGGGTCAAAAATCGGGTCAATCTCGGGTTTTCGGGTCAAAATCGGGTCAAAAACGGGTCAATCTCGGGTTTTCGGGTCAAAAATGAGTTTTCGTGTCACTTTCGGGTCACTTTCGGGTCAATTTCGGGTTGGCGGGTCAACCCGAACCCGACCCGATTTTTAAAACGGGTTGATTTCATGAACCCGAACCCGACCCGTTTCGGGTTTGGGTTGACCCGAACCCGGATTTTTCCGGGTCGGGTTCGGGTCGTGTTTCGTGTCATGTCAAAAATTGACACCCCTACCGAACAGTATTTCTCGTCTGAACTCTACACAAAATAATTTCTCTTTATTGTGATCTATTGCTGGACTTTGAGGCCAAGGGCCTAGCATTTGAGCAAAGGCCAATTTTGTGCATAGTAATAAAATTTAATATATTTATAACAATAATATTTAACTATTTTTTATGGTAATGCTACTCAAAGTTTTATATAAAACGATCACTTTAAAGTTTTTAATAATTTATTCGTTTCAAACAAAAAAAAAAATAGAATTGTAAGTGCATTTTGAGATTTAAGTGATAGTTTTATTATCACAAAAACATCAATATCCAAAAAGAAAAAGTATATGTAGCTTATCTTAATCTTTTGATTGAAATCTTTGATTTCCAACTAATATATAAATATATATTTCAAAAATCAGATTCATGAAACCAAGATTATATATAAATATTTCAAAAACTTATTCTTTTCAAAAACTAATATATAAATATATAACATGAAAATATTTCATATCTTCTTCCAAATTTACAGAATTTTGTCAGTTAGCTTTTATCTCTACCTCCTAGGAGAAACCAAGAGAGACCCCACGCACATCCACAGTCCTTTAATTCCAACCACTCATCTGATCGAAATCAGGCCTGGAAAAATACAGTAGATCCAAAACAGTAGTAGGGGAAAATTCATTGTCTGTCGGTGCTAATAATTAATTTACCTGATAATTTTTTTTATTTGTATTATTAAAATTTGGAATTGAATTGAATTTATATTAATAAGTAATAACAATAACGCTATGTCCTTATCCCACTTCGCGATATGAATTTTTATCAAGAATCAGATTCATTTTTATATTTAATAAAAAAAGACATTTTTAATACCTTTTTAACTATTTTTTTTAGGTATACTCCTGTTTTTTTTAATATATGTCAAATCTAATGCTATTATTGTCAGATCTTAAGTCCTCGATGAGAAAAATAAAGGATTATATTAAAAAATTGACAAACAATATAAAATTTATTAAATAAACATGACATGAATTTCATTTATATTAATAATTCTATAAATTTAATAAAGAGTTCGAGCAGATTAACAATTAATATTTAATAATCACGATTAAATTCGCTTAACAAAATAGAGTAAAAATATAACAAAGACCCACCATTACTTAGCTTGGTTGGTGGGCAAATACGATTGGGAACCTCTAAGTCCTAATCTGTGCTTGATTCCCCTCAAGTGGCAGCGTCTCTTAAGTGAGGCCCAATAAAATGTGGGTCAGGATGTTTCTGAGGTGGATGCCTCTTTAAGGTCAGCCAAAAATCAGTCACTCCGCATAGCACCCTTTCCGCATAGCACCCTTTCGGAGCTTAGTGGGTTTACTCCCCCCTCCCCAAAAAAAACCCCTTTAAAGGTTATTCTCAGGTGCATGCTAATAACCCGTGGTACATTACTATTTATTCACAAGACTCCGTACCATTCTGTCGTTCAGGCAGGTAAATTAGCGTACAAGCTCTAAGCAGTTAATCGGTGATGAGGAAGAAAACGACGTGGGAATAGAACAAGGAAGCTGTAAAGCATTCAAGGCGTTGGTGGCGCGAAGCTTGTAGGCGTTAATGAGGATACAGGGAAGTTCGCATTAGATATCTGTGCCCGGAAGAGGTCTTACTTTAAGAAAATTTTTATTCATTGCAAGTTCAAAATATTTATGATATAAATATCTATTTAATATATTAATTTTTAACAAAAAATTAACGCACACAAAGATTAAAAATATAGTTGTGATAGTAACTAGAAATTTTATATGAAAAATCCCAAATGAGATAAATTATGGGCTTAGATTAATTAAAATAATTTATTAGTGTTTATCTTTGATTGGAAATGATGCTCTTCTTCATAAAATGAGAACCTGTTAACACTATATAATAGACTTAAATGTATAACAAAGATTTTGTAGTGAAAGTTGAGAACTACTTGTGGCATGAGAGCTATCTTCATGATATCATTTATTATTAGTTCAATCTTTCGTCTTTGAGGAGATGAGCAACAAAGTCAGCGAGTGTCAACCGTTATGATAATAATATGCATTGGATTTATATGTGTTGGTGTACATTGATGTTGCTTTTTAATGAAGTCAATGAGCAACAGCCTTGTGACGATGGTGTGTATCAACCTTATAGGTTGGTGATAACATGTGTTAATGTTATTGGCGACATCATGTAATGATGTTAGTGGGCATTAGAATTGGTGTTGATCAAATGCATCAACCTTATAAGTGATGGCGTGCTCCAATGCTAATGGCGGAGGTAAGCAATGAAGTTTGCAGACCTCAACGTAGTAGGACGATAATGGTTAGAACTTAGAAGACTATATTTTAGAGATAGTGGTGAGGGCCATAGTCGATCAATGGTGGTTGGAGGACTATAGTTTGGTGACAATGGTTGTAGGATTATAGTGATGGTAGTCAGAGGATCATAGTCACATAATAGTAGTCGGAGGACCGATGATCAAGTGATGATGATTAAAGGGTTTTAGTTAGACGATTGTATTCAAAGGTCAATAATTAGTAATGGTGGTCGGAAGACCAAAGTTGAGTGATGATGGTCGAGAGACGGTAGTCGAGCAATGATAACTGGAGGATTGTATTCAAGTGATGATGGTGAGTACTAAGTCAAGTAATGGTTGTCTGAGGAGAAAGTAGTTAGGCAATAGTGGTTAGAGGATTGTAATTATCCAATGAATATTAGGTGACAAAAATCGGTGATTATAGTTGAGAGAAGGTTGTTAGAGGATCGTAGATAGGCGGCATTAGTCATATGATCATGGTCAAGAACCATAGTTGGGTGATGTGGTTGGAGAATTGTAGTCAGGAAATAGTGGTTGAAGTGTCGTAATATGGGATTGTCATAATATTATAATCGAGAGATGATGGCCAAGGTATTGTAGTCGGACAATAAAGATTTACTGGCCATAGACGAACAATGAAGGTTTGAGAATCATAGTCAAGAGTTGGTGGTTGGAATACTAGTTAGACAACAATGGTCGGGAAACTATAGTAAGTTGATGGTTGTCAAATGATCATAGTTAGTGATTGAAGAGTTGAGATTAGATGATGGTGATCTGACAGTTGTGGTATGATGATGATAGTTTGGTTGCACTGTTTTTATGATAATAATCGACGATAATGATTTGATGGTGGTGGTTTGTTGACATTGATCGAATGTCTATTGTCAGAGACTGGTGGTCCAACAATTGTGGTCAGATGATAGTTATTTGACATCTAATCTCTCAACAATTTCAAGTCAAACCCAAGCTTCAAATATCTGTGCCCGGAAGAGGTCTTACTTTAAGAAAATTTTTATTCATTGCAAGTTCAAAATATTTATGATATAAATATCTATTTAATATATTAATTTTTAACAAAAAATTAACGCACACAAAGATTAAAAATATAGTTGTGATAGTAACTAGAAATTTTATATGAAAAATCCCAAATGAGATAAATTATGGGCTTAGATTAATTAAAATAATTTAATTAGTGTTTATCTTTGATTGGAAATGATGCTCTTCTTCATAAAATGAGAACCTGTTAACACTATATAATAGACTTAAATGTATAACAAAGATTTTGTAGTGAAAGTTGAGAACTACTTGTGGCATGAGAGCTATCTTCATGATATCATTTATTATTAGTTCAATCTTTCGTCTTTGAGGAGATGAGCAACAAAGTCAGTGAGTGTCAACCGTTATGATAATAATATGCATTGGATTTATATGTGTTGGTGTACATTGATGTTGCTTTTTAATGAAGTCAGTGAGCAACAGCCTTGTGACGATGGTGTGTATCAACATTATAGGTGATAACATGTGTTAATGTTATTGGCGACATCATGTAATGATTGATGCGGAGCATCTTTGTGGGCGTTCTCTGCATGGACAACGTATCGGGCACATGGGTCGTTGGCCAGGAAACGTTCCACCATTACCTTTCTGTTTGCTCTATTTTCCTACTTTTAGACCGTTATCTTTACAGTAAGCTTTTTAGTTTCTTAGCTGCTTATAGTATACTTAGATGGAGAAATATATACTCCATAGGAGATCGGGAAAGGCAGTTTTTGAGATATACAAAGGTTATAGAAGTTCTATATCCCTGTTCCATTGTTTTGTCATTTCCTCTGTTTCCCAGTTTTTAATCTGTGCAGATTACCCTACATCAGGTTTGGTATCAAAGCCAGATGGCTGAGAGCAGTAGACGGGTGGCTCCCGGTGAAGATCAAAGCCTTGAAGCCCTGTGGGCAGAGCATCGGAAGTTAGCGCAGCGAATGGAGGAGGTTGCGACCGAAGCTCAACAGTTCCAGTTGGAGATGCGACGGGATCTGAGAGCGATCCTCGCACGACTGGAACGCAAAGCAGTGCGGATGACAACGCCGAACTACCCTCCTATGGTTCGACGCGGAATGAACGTAGGAAGAACGGCGAATCGGGATTTGCCGAGACAGGAGGTATCGGATTCTGACGAGGAAGCGGAACTACTCAGGGAGCTGGAGTTATCCGACTCAGAGGAGGAAACTGGGTATCAGCACCGCAGGCGCACAAGAGGAACTGAGCGAAATCACGGTGAGTTTCGCGTTAAAATGGATATATCGTTCTTCGATGGAAAATTACACATCGAGGACTATCTGGACTGGGAGCGGGCTGTGGAGACTTTTTTTGAATACATGGATGTCGAACCGGCAAAGCAAGTGAAGTATGTAGCATGTCGACTGAAATCGGGAGCCAGTGCGTGGTGGTTGCAACTATTGCAGTCAAGGAGACGAGAAGGAAAGGGACCTATACGGAGTTGGTGGAGGATGAAGCAATTGCTACGAGGACACTTTTTACCTACAGATTACGAACAACTGTTATATATGCAATATCAACATTGCTCGCAGGGGAGCCGATCAGTCAATGAGTACACAGAAGAATTTTATCGTCTAAGTGCAAGGAATAACCTGAATGAGTCCACAAATCAACTGGTTGCAAGATATGTGGAAGGATTGAAGGAAGCAATTCAGGACAAACTGGAATTAAGCACTGTTTGGTCACTATCCCAAGCGGTAAACTATGCTTTAAAAGAGGAGATGCAATTGGCAAGACAGGGCAGGAGCAGTCAGGGAAAACGGGTCATGGAACAAACGGTTGAAAGCAATAGATCCACAAATGTTATTCCAACTGCTCGTTTCCAGAACACCTCTGGGGGAAATCAGTTACCAGTGGGTGCTGGCAGCAGGAATTTGGAGATGAAATCCACAACTAAGATCAAAGGTCAGTCCAAAGAAAATCCCTACTCTAAACCTATGACTATCAAATGTTTCAGGTGTTTCCAGCAAGGGCATAAATCCAACGAATGCCCAACACGACCTCAGCTTCACACCATTGAAGCGGAAGAAGACACGGCGTTAGACGAAGGCGAGGAAGAAATGGAAAACTCACACGAAGATGTGGGCGGAGATGAGGGTGAACCTCTCGTTTGTGTGATGCAAAAGTTACTTTTGGCACCAAGACTAGCTGATAGATCGCAGCGAAATATTTTATTTAAAACTAAATGTACAATCAACGGGAAGGTTTGAAGCCTATTGGTGGACAGCGGGTGTACGGAAAATGTAATTTCCAAAGTGGCAGTGCAAGCTCTACAACTTAAAACAACTCCGAATGCTAACCCGTATAAAGTTAGCTGGGTTAAGAAGGGTGTAGAAATCGCCGTCACGGATAGCTGCCGGGTCCATTTTTCAATTGGGAAGAATTATGATAGTGAAGTCGTTTGCGACGTAATCGATATGGATGTATGCCATATCATTCTCGGTAGGCCATGGCAATTCGACGTTGGTGCAATTCACGATGGTAGAGCGAACACTTATACCTTCGATTGGAAGGGAAAGACACTGAGGATGTTGCCCATTAATCGAGAGGCTGAGACCGTGGGCCTCAACAGCAAGCCGTCTATGTGTGTTGTGTCAGGAAATCAGCTGTTGCACGCTTGGAGAAATTCTTCACAGATCCTGGCTCTTATAGTAAAGGAAAAAGCGGAAGAGGCTGGTCACGGTGACATCCCAGAACCTATCAAAGTTCTAATTGAGCAATATGCAGACATTTGACCAACCAATTTACCAGTCGAGCTACCGCCCCTAAGGAACATTCAGCATCGTATTGATTTGATCCCTGGCTCAACAATACCCAACTTGCCGCATTACAGATTATGTCCGACGGAACAAAGGATTCTTCAGCAATTGGTAGATGAACTGCTCGAGAAACAGCTTATTCAGTATAGCCTGAGCCCGTGTGCGGTGCCTGCATTGCTCGTACCCAAGAAAGATGGGAGTTGGAGGATGTGCGTGGACAGCAGAGCAGTTAACAAAATCACCGTCAAGTTTAGATTCCCAATGCCAAGGATAGAGGAAATGCTAGAAAAACTAGCAGGATCAAAAATCTTCACCAAATTAGATCTCCGAAGTGGGTATCATCAAATTCGAATCAATCCCGGAGACGAATGGAAGACAGCATTCAAGACGAGGGAAGGATTATACGAATGGCGTGTAATGCCATTTGGTTTATGCAACGCACCGGCGACATTCATGAGGTTGATGAACGAAGTTTTCAAGCCCTTTTTAAACAAAAGCTGCGTCGCTTATTTCGATGATGTGTTGGTGTTCAGCGGCAGTTTAGAAGAACATCTTCAACACTTGAAACAAATATTTGAAGTCTTCAGGCTAAACAAGCTTTATTTGAATTTGGCAAAGTGCGAGTTTGCCACTGATGTTGTATCATTTCTCGGATTCAGAATTGCTGCCGATGGCGTCAGTGCCGACCTAAGGAAAATTGAAGCCATTGTGGATTGGCCTACTCCAAAATCGTTCACGGATATCCGGAGCTTTCACGGCCTGGCAAACTTCTACAGAAAATTTATCAAGGGCTTTAGCATTATATTAGCTCCATTAACTGACCTTTTGAAACAAAAGCAATTCAAATGGGAAGAGGAACACCAAGCCAGCTTTGCTGCAATCAAGTAAGCCTTGTCCTCTGCTCCGGTGTTGGCATTACCGGATTTTGACAAACCATTTTCTGTAGAAACTGATGCATCGACGGTGGGAATCGGGGCTGTCTTGACTCAAGATGGCCGACCCATTGAGTTCTTTAGCGAGAAGTTATGTCCATCTCGGCAGAGGTGGTCGGTGTATGAGCAAGAATTATACGCCGTGGTGAGGGCGTTAAGACAATGGGAACACTATTTGCTACACCAAGATTTTGTTCTATGTAGTGACCATAAGGCTCTACAATATATTAATACTCAAAAAAACATCAACCGCATGCATGCGAGGTGGATCTTATTTCTACAAAAGTTTACATTTGTGTTGAAGCACAAAAGCGGTGCTCAAAACCGAGTGGCGGATGCTTTAAGCCGGCGATCTGCTCTCCTCACACAGTTACAAACAGAGTTCACGGGTTTGGAATTATTACAGGAGTTGTACAAAGAAGACAAAGATTTTGGCAAGGTTTGGCTCCAATGCATTGACAGGGAATCAATTGATGACTTTTCCTTAAGGCATGTATTTCTGTTCAAAGGCAATCTCCTATGCATTCCGGATTCATCATGGCGGCAGCGGATTATTCAGGAAGTACACGGGGGCGGGTTGGCCGCTCATGCGGGAAGAGATAAGATATTGGCACAACTACAGAGCAAATTCTTTTGGCCTCATTTAAGACGGGATGTTAGCAAATTTGTTGAACGATGTTCAATTTGTCAAACTTACAAAGGCGGCGGACAGAACACAGGATTGTATCAACCCTTGCCGGTGCCCGAATCTATTTGGGAAGACCTTAGCCTAGATTTCATACTCGGGCTGCCTCGCACTAAGAGAGGAAATGATTCGATCATGGTTGTTGTAGACAGGTTTTCAAAGATGGCACACTTTATTGCCTGTAAGAAAACTTTTGACGCTCTGAATATTGCCAAACTTTTCTTCCGGGAGATTGTGAGATTACACGGAGTACCTAGAAGCCTCACATTCGATAGAGATGTGAAATTCATAAGCCACTTTTGGTGGGAGTTGTGGAAACGATTGAAGACCCAGGTGCAAATGAGCTCTTCGTACCATCCTCAAACCGACGGGCAGACGGAGGTGGTGAACAAAACGTTGGGAAACTTACTTCGGTGCTTGGTACAAGAGCAACCGAAGTTGTGGGATGATGTTTTATGCCAAGCTGAATTCGCATTTAACTCCATGCCGAACCGTTCAACGGGTATGTGTCCATTTAGTATTGTTTATACTAAATTACCGAACAATGTTTTAGACATTGCAGCCATTCCAAATTGCAAAAGCAAAGCAGCTGCCACAATGGTGGAAGAATATTCGGATATGTTGGCTAAGGTCCGCTTGAAGCTTGAAAGTTCCAATGAAAAATACAAATTGGATGCTGACTGTCACCGAAGAAGGAAAGTGTTCAAGCCGGGCGATCTTGTCTGGGTGCGAATGAAGAAAGAGAGGCTACCGGCGGGAACCTACAACAAATTAAGTCAAAGAAAATTCGGACCGTTTCCAGTCAGCCGTTGCATCAATGAGAACGTTATAGGTGATAACATGTGTTAATGTTATTGGCGACATCATGTAATGATGTTAGTGGGCCTTAGAATTGGTGTTGACCAAATGCATCAACCTTATAAGTGATGGCGTGCTCCAATGCTAATGGCGACGGTAAGCAATGAAGTTGGCAGACCTCAACGTAGTAGGACGATAATGGTTAGAACTTAGAAGACTATATTTTAGAGATAGTGGTGAGGGCCATAGTCGACCAATGGTGATTGGAGGACTATAGTTTGGTGATAATGGTTGTAGGATTCTAGTGATGGTAGTCAGAGGATCATAGTCATATAATAGTAGTCGGAGGACCGATTCAAGTGATGATGATTAGAGGGTTTTAGTTAGGCGATTATATTCAAAGGTCAATAATTAGTAATGGTGGTCGGAAGATCAAAGTTGAGTGATGATGGTCGAGAGACTGTAGTCGAGCAATGGTAATTGGAGGATTGTATTCAAGTGATGGTGGTTGAGTACTATAGTCAAATAATGGTTGTCTGAGGAGACAGTAGTTAAGCAATAGTGGTTAGAAGATTGTAATTTTCCAATGAATATTAGGTGACCACAACTGGTGATTATAGTTGAGAGAAGGTTGTCAGAGGATCGTAGATAGGTGACATTGGTCATATGATCATGGTCAGGAACCATAGTTGGGTGATGTGGTTGGAGAACTGTAGTCAGGAAATAGTGATTGAAGTGTCGTAATATGGGATTGTCATAATATTATAATCGAGAGATGATGGCCAAGATATTGTAGTCGGACAATAAAGATTTACTGGCCATAGACGGACAATGAAGGTTTGAGAATCATAGTCAAGAGTTGGTGGTTAGAATACTAGTTAGAAAACAATGGTTGGGAAACTATAGTAAGTTGATGGTTGTCAAATGATCATAGTTAGTGATTGGAAGAAAAAAAAGTTAGTGATTGGAGAGTTGAGATTAGATGATGGTGATCTGACAGTTGTGGTATGATGATGATGGTTTGGTTGCATTGTTTTGATGATAATAATCTACGACAATGATTTGATGGTGGTGGTTTGTTGACATTGATTGAATGTCTATTGTCAGAGACTGGTGGTCCAACAGTTGTGGTCAGATGATAGTTATTTGACATCTAATCTCTCAACAATTTCAAGTCAAACCCAAGCTTCGTCTCTTGTGCCCCATTTCATTTAGATAGATGGGTCTATTTATAATTTTTGAGATTATCACTCTTCATAAGTATAACTAAAAATCAAAACTTCATCATATGACTTATATTGACCCCCTTGACTACAAACTATTCTTTCACAATTTTGGTGCATTTATGATATTTGAATTAAGTGATATTTGGCTTGTTGCATTTATATTGTCAAGTTGCTCGATTAGATTATAAACATGGCCAATTTAGAGATTATTTAGTAATACAACGTAACATTCCAAAGTTCTCAATTATGCTTGAAGTGCTTCATTTGGACTCATGTGAAGATATTTTTGTAAGACATTCAACTAAGCTATAAAAATTTATAGAAATTGGAGTTTATATGAACCTGAATTTTATTTCAGAATTTTTTACATAAAAATTGCATCGAGATTCATGTTTGACTGAGTGAATATTTTGTTATTTACCAAATTAAAATTTAACTAAATTAATTGGGCCTCATAAACATTCGATTTTTTTGAGATGAGTGTAATATGTCAAAAATTAATTATAATTTATATTATAATTACTTAATAATAGTTAATCAAACGAAAGATTCAAACTAATAACAAAAACAATTGATCACATTATCTTCAATTTTCTTTTCTCGCTTTGTATGTCTTCAATTTGGCATCTGAAGCGCTACTGACTTCATTCCCGCACACTAGCCAACTTCAACTACTTGGGAATTTTTGTACTAGGATATTCCAATTAAAGCAAAAAATTATGATATGTTTCAAAGATAATTAAATTTATTTTAAAATATATTAAAAAAATTAAGTCCATTCTAATCAATATTGTAATCAAAATTATCTTATAAGAAGCTAAGTTATGGATAAAATAATACATTTCACATAAGCTCTTTGTGTTGTGTTACAACAAATTTATGTGAAGATTGTAAATTATATTTATGTTGTAGGGTATATAATGTACAAAATTTTGATATGAGATATTAAGATAGGGGAAAATAGTGATAAGTGTAGTCATGTAGATGTTGCTATAGCTCATCATATGACAATGCATATGCAAATCAAATAATTTTATACTGTTTTGATAACAAGATGTGGGTAGGCAGTATAGTTTGTGCTTGTAGATAACAATATAATGATGATAGTGGTTATGAAGATTATGATTTGAGTGATAAAATAATGAAGTTTTAGAAGAATATAGATTATGGTGTACTATCCATTATTAATTTGGATAGTTCATTCTTTGTTTTGGTATGTGATTCATTATTGATTTTGATAATTAACTTTTTGAAATTGGAGTGGACAAGATACTATTTGATTAAGATAAATAAGGATTATCGAAGACTAATTTCATAACTTATAGTTTATAAATTATTAAAATATTTTCAACAAGAATTTTGATGAATTTGAGAAGTTTATGTGATGTTAACAAGGATATTATTTATGTTTTATCTTTTGGCAAATATTGATCTCATTTTTGTTGAACCTAACTATTGCTAGGTTTTGTTATTTAACCTGGTATTAGACCTTTGTTTTACTAGAGACTTTGCTATCTCAAGTCATATTATGATACATTAGACCTTACGATAGGCTTAGACTATTTAATAAGTCTAGTTTATCACCCAAGGACTTAATAAGGCTCAACCCTAGCTTAATATCCTACTATAACCTATTAAAATAAATCTAGCCATCAAGAACAACAACAAAAAACAAGCTAGCCTACTCACATGCATTTTAATTCCTAGGAGAAACTCATGGCTAACTACTTAAGAGATTTACACAGTCTAAACCTAAATAAACCCATAAACTTAACCTAACATGAACAATTAAGAATCCTGTTAAGCTAAACATAAAACAACTGAATACACTCGAATATTGTACTTAGTTTTGCTTAATTTCATGAGTATGCCTTTTTCAAATTAACCTAATGACTTTTAAGTTGCCTCTTCCAAATTAGTTCCTCTAGGAAATGAAGGTCAGAGGGACCATGGTCGATGGGTGATTGTGGTCAGAGGGATTGTAGTTGGTCAAAGACGTATGTTGGATAAAGGCCCAACGGTGACTACCAGAAGGTGGTTAGGCAGAGGTCCGATAATGATAGCATGGTGGCACGACTTGGCTAGCGATTGAACTAGAGTGGAGCTCTGAGATTCTTCAAGTCTCAAAGTTCTTTTAAGTTTTTAATCCTATTCAAGAAGCAAGAGATGCTCAAAATATTCAATATATATACTTTTTTTTCATCATCAATGTTTTATTTTTTAATATTATGTTGTCTGTTGATTCAT